GCTACAAAAAGAAAGGAAACTGATTCTCTTCTAGAGCCTCCAAAAAAAATGCAGTCCTGTCACCCTGGTCAGGTGGTTCATTTGGTTGGAGCATTGCCCTGTACACCAAAGGGTTGTGTGCAGGTTTGACCCCAGATCAAGGCACACACCTAGGTTGTGGGTTCAATCCCTGATCCGGGCATGCAAGGGAAGTAACTGATTGATGTTTCTCTCTCACATCAATGTTTCTCTCTCTCTCTCTGAGGCTTTCTCTCTCTCTAACAAACTCAATAAACCTGTCCTTGGGTGAGGATTAAAAAAAATAATATTATAGCCCTGCCTACCATTTTTTGACTTCTGATCTCTGGAACTATAAGATAATAAATTTCTATTGTTTTTAAGCCACTAAGTTTGTGGTAATTTCTTATAGCAGCACACTAGAACACTAATACATTTATGTTATAAAAAGAATAATCTTTTAGAGATACATAATGAAGTATTTTAAAAATAAATGATATGATGTCTAGAATGTGTTTCAAAATAGTAGGACACATGGGTGACTGGAGAGGAGTATGGATGAGGCAGGATTGGCCATAATTGTTGGGGTTGAGTGGTGGGTGCATAGGGTCCCTCATACTATTCTTCTTTCAGGATTTAAAAAATTAAACACATACACACACACACACAAGAAAAATACAGTTAAGTCTAAGTGTTATGACCTGCGAGACTTCCAAAGACCTGGACTGGTGAAACCTGGACTCACCTAGGGGTGGTAAAAGTCAGAGTAAAAGTATCATCAGCACCAGAAGTGAGAGGGGCCATTCATCAAGCTGTCACTGCGACAAGAGAAGACATAAGGCCAGGCCAGGAAACACAGGGACTGGAAGGGAAACAAATGGTGTGAGGCCACAGGGAAGTGCAAGAGGTAAACCATCAAAAACATAAATGTGCACGAGGGAATTGAACCAGTCAAAGAGCAAAGACATTCTGTGGTTCACAGGGAAAAAAAAAATGCTATGTGCTGTCTTTTAGGCTCCCAATCACATTGGCCTGCAAGAGTAGGCAGGTAACCACTTCTATCCAACATTTTCCCAGTTCTCTCAATCCCACCCTCTCCTAGTTACTATACACTTCCTTTTGTCACATACTGGTTCGTTGCCTGCCATTTCCATTATTGCCTATGTTAGTTTGCCTTTCTACCTTTCCAATCAATTTCTCTTGGTTGTTTGCTTTATTTTTGTTTGTTTTTGTAAAGGCAGAGGCAAGCAATAAACAAAACCCAACTGCCCAAATCTATGGAATATATAGAATGCAAAGGGCCGTTTCCGAACCACCATGTTGGTTCACATATCTGTATTTAGACAGAGGACCCAAAATGGAAGACGGATCTATAGTTTACCTACATACTACCCTACAGAGGTAATAAAGTAAAGTTTTCATTATCAAGATAACTAAGGTTTAATATAATCAGAGGACAAACTACTGCCATAATTAACAAGAATTCATTATAAGAAGGAGAAAATAATTAGATGACAACTTACAATAGCTTTCATTTAAAAAAGCAGCTTGTGAGAAAGAGAGAGAGCAAAATTGCTTGTAATATTTTCTAAGAATGAAGATGATGCTTCAACAACAGGGATGAATCTTGGGGATATAATGTCAAGTGAAAGAAGCCAGACACAAAAGAGGACATAGTGTATAAATCCATTGATAAGATACCCAAGAACAGACAAAATGAATCTATAGTGACAGAAGTCAGCATAATGGTGTTCTTGACTAGGAGGAGTCATAAGACTTTCTGGGATGCTGGATATGTCTATATTTCGATATCAGTGTGACTACATAGATGAATACTTATGTGGAAATTAATTGTGATTATTTTGTAAAATAATCATCTGTAAAATGATGTAAAAATTAATCATCTCTGCCCATTGCAGCCTGTGCTCTCCAGAGCTGCTATAGCTCTTGGGGCTCTACTTACCTCTCCTAATGGAAGCCTGACCTCTGCCAGAACAGCCTAAGATGGGATGAGTGCTGGCAAGAGGCCACTGTTTGAGCTGGGTGGTGATGAGGGATCTTTAAGGTCATCACAGGTTTTGGACTGAGTCAGGAGAACTGTAAGGAGCAAACTGACAGAGTGATTCTGAGGCTTGAAAAGTAGTCATGAAAACTTGGATTTTATCAGCATTAGCTCTTATTCTTTGAGTTCAAATAGTCTCCTTATTTCCAGGTTTTCTAGGCAAAATTAATTGAATATCATGATAGGAGGTATTCATTTATCCATTCATCCATTCACTCATTCAACAAATATTTACCAAATTCTTACTGTGTGCAAGGCACTTCCATGTAATGTAAAAGAAACAGTGATGTTCCAACCTATGCTGTCATCATTAAGAAGTAGTCTCGCCCTGGCTGGTGTGGCTCAGTGGACTGAGCACCAGACTGCAAACCAAAGAGTTGCTGGTTCAATTCCCGGTCCAGGCACATACCTGGGTTGTGGGGCAGGTCCCCAGTAGGGGGTGTGTGAGAGGCAACTACACATTGATGTTTCTCTCCCTTTTTCTCCCTCCTTCCTCTAAAAAGAAATAAAATCTTTAAAAAAGAAGTAGTCTCTATTCTATAAGTTTATTGAATTTTGTTTTACTTAAACACTCTTGTCCACCTGCTTTCCTTGAATAAGAGCATATCCTCACCCAAAATAGAATTGCCTTTTTAACAATTTTTAAATTTTTATTGAATTTATTGGAGTGACATGGGTTAATAAAATTACATAGATTTCAAGTGTAAAAAAAAATAAAAGCAATGGCTCTGGTGAAAAAAAATAAAATAAAAAATAAATAAATAAAAAAGAAGTAGTCTCCAGTTTACTTTGGCAAAGGGGGAAAAAGAAAAACGGGGTGTAAGTAAATAAAATAATAATTATTGAATGTTTAAATACATAGTCTATGATGAAAGCATATGATCAATGAGATGGTGAAAGGCACAGTTAGGAAAGGTTAGAGAATATGTTCAGAAGCTGATTCTTCTACTTATTTGTTATGCAATATTCAAATTCCTCATCTGTAAAATGGAAATAAGGATATCTACCTCATAAGAACTTCGTGAAAGAACATTATGAATATGGAAAATTATGAATCTAAAGAGGCTAGCATGATTCTCAGCACACTGTAGGTACTCAATAGATAGTAGCTATTATCAATAACTCATTTAATATAACAGTCACACTTCCATAAATGCTTTGATGAACATAGTCATTAAGAAGATTTTCTAACATAGATAATGCAAATTACATTTTTAGAGTAAGGGCTCCGATAATTTCATGCTAAAAACAAAAATATGGGAAGTACATGAGGCATCCATGAGACAGTTTAACAATCAAAGTAGTATTTCTACAATTTAATAAAGGGCACATACATATGAAAGAGGCATAAATAAAACCCAAATCTTTCATATACAGAATGTAGAGATGTACAATTTCAAGTATTTCCATTCCATTGGGAATAGAAAAACAATAACCAGTAATTAAGAATTTAAATATGCTTCCCCCTCCAGCTTTGCTGTAGCCAGTGCTAAGGGCTGGCCTAAATTAAACCTGTTTAACCTGTTTGATTTTTCTCTGTTCAAGATAGCTTTTTGGCTTTTGTAGACATTTTTGAACCATCATCTTACACCATTTCAACATACCCTCCAATGTGATATGTTACACAATTGATATAACCAGATGTCTCTTTAATATTTGCGTATCAATGGACTAGTTTTAATATTTTCATCTTAAAGTTTTCTTGAATTCTGCATTAACATTTATTTATTCATTTTTAAAGAATTCAAGAACAATCAGAGCAATTTGATTTTATGCCATTAGCCAATGTATAGATATGATGAAATAGACTCTAATTTGTCTCTTGCTTATTGTAGCAAAAGTTGTGTATAAAAGTAATTTTATTATGCATTGTATTAAATGGATATATTCTGTAGGTTTTTAAAAAGTTTTAGGCTCCAATTTCCGAGTTATGACTTAAAAAAATACAAGCCCTATATATTACGTTCAGGAGATCACAGACGCAAAACCTATATCCAGCCTGAGTTAGAGAAGGCCTCCCAATGGTTTACTTTTGGCTAACACAGCACATTGCATTATTTTTGTAAACAAAAGGTTTTAAATCTGCTTATATCCAGCCTCACAACGAGGGGTGGGATAACTTTCTCTGGTTTTCTATACTTTGCCGCATTTTGCGTGGAGAGATTCGTGGGCTGTTTTCTGGTTATTTTTACATTTTTACGCCCGCTCATCCTCTTAGGTACGAACTTCACCTGCACCACAGCTCCGATCGAGTGGAGGAGACCCCAAAGGGCACTCTAGAGGACACTCCCGAGCGCACCCTTCAGCCAGCGAGCATATTATTTTCCCCTAGGTTTAATGTAGTTCCCTTTAACTAGAGCCTGGGTTTAGATGAACTAAATTCAGATTGTGGAACTGGAGGGGAATGCGTGGCAAAAACCCTTTGGTGGGGGTGGGGGCGGGGGCTGTTTTAAGGAATATACTGAACCCGCGGAGGAATGGTTTTGCTTAAGTTGCTCTAGCAAGATGCTTTTTTCTCATGGACCTTGCTTGGGTTCCTAGGAAAGTGCCCACTTTTTGAGTGTGTGGTCAGGACGGGTGGTGGCCAAGAGTCGAAGGCGATGGTCAAGGGGAGCGAATTCCCGGGATGGAACTTGACGCACACCCTGGATTCCCAGTTAGGGTCCTCCCCACCACTGTCTTGGATGCAGGGGCTACGACTGGCTTTATTTTGGCGGGAGGGCAGATTGTGGGAGGAGGATATGGGAAAACTGCCAAGAGCTTTCCCGGGCTTGCAGTGTCTGCGCGCGCGGGCTTACAGCTGAGCCCCCTACTCGGGCCCCGCGTGCAGCCGTGGTCAAAGGGCGTGCACGCGGCAACCGCAGAGCACGCGGGCCAGAGGGGGCGGGGCGCTAGTGGCGGTTGCGGGGCATGCGCGGCTCCGCGCGCGGCTTCTCAAACATGGCGGCAGCGGTGTGAAGACTGGTGCCTGTTCGCGGGAGTTGGTGACCAGTGTGACCGAAATTTGCTCGTTTTGTCAACAAGACCTTAGGTATGTGGAGGCTCCGGGCCCCTTGAGGACCAGAGAGACAGAGCCTTGGCGTCCAGGATCTGTTTTTTTCCCGCGGGCGGGTGGGTAGCCGGAGCCCTTCGCTGCGTGTCCCGCGCGAGGAACGCCCCCTTAGCCGCCCCGCGGGATCTGGCCTTAGCTGGGCCCTGCACTTCTGTCGCCCACCTTTGGCGGCCTCATTCCTCGAGGCCAGGGATCCCCTGCCCCACGTAGTGCCCTCAGCCTTTCTCGTGCCGCCTCTAAAAGTCCGCCTTGGGTCCCGTTGCACAGCACCCTCCGGAGCATCCCCTAGCGATGAGTAGGGTCGGGTCGGGGCCCCGGGACAGCGCGGGTGGGCGGTGGGGCTGACTTCGCGCGGTTGGGGATGACTTTGCGTGGTCTGGGCTTAAATTCGCTTGGTTGATCTCCGGGGACGTGTGAAGTAACTTTTGGAGTTTGGGAGTGAAATGTCAACTCGGAAGGATGCGCCAGTGGCGCTCGGGCAATTGGTGCGAGGTGCACCTTGGAGTCGCTCTTGGGGTTCGTGGCGGTTGGGGGTGGGGAGAAGCGGGGGGCTCGCCATTAGCCTTTGCCTGGGGGGGTGCGCCACGGGAGGCCACGGTCCGCTCTCCGATGGGGGGGGCAGGCGGGAAGCGCGGCTCCTGCTCTCCGAAGGAGTGGAGGGGCGGAGGGGCGGAGGAGCAGGGTAGCGAAGGAGCAGGGTAGCGGAGGAGCAGGGTAGCGGAGGAGCAGGGTAGTGGAGGAGTAGGGGAGTGGAGGTGTGGAGAAGCCGAGGAGCCGAGGAGCGGCGGGGCTGGCGGGGCTGACTAGGGACCTTTGCTACTTCGGTTTCCAGACAGCGTTCTCGCTTTTCCCACCTGGTTAGTGGTTGTGCCGCATCCTAGTGTGAATCGTCGGAGGGAGAGCGGGTGGGTGAATTTAATAGGTTTTGCGCTTTATGGTTTTACTTAGCTTTGAGGGCTCAACAGTAGTTGGGCTTCTCCTCCTGCAAAATGTTTTGACAGCACAGGTATTTAGGTACAAGTTCTCATTTAGACTATTGATTTTTTAAAAAGGTTGTAAAACATTTGTAATTCATTATAACGTGTGATTACAATTTCATATTGGCCCCTACTTTGAAGAATTAGATTAGCATTGATGACTTAACTGTAGAGTGACTTTGGGACATCTCTAGAAAGTGAATGAATGGATCGGTTATTAGGGAAAACTGAGACAAGGGGAAATAAATACTTCATTGTAATAATATGATTTACAAAATTAAAGTTTTCTTTCCTAAAAAGCACTGCAGATACTGCTGCATTTTTAATGATTTCAGAGTTATTTATATTTCTGCTTGGGGAAAGAACGTTATAAGATGTATAACATTTATGGAATATAGCTTCGTATGATAAGCAATTGTATAACAGGAGTTCATAAATGCAGATTTAATTTTCATCAAGAATAGTGCTTGGGAATGTTCTTCAATAATGACAATTTTTGCCTTTCTTGCCATTATTTTTCTGAATTTCTCATTAAATAATTTATTTCTGAGGATGAGTGTTCTTTTATTCTGTTTGTAGTTTTGTATATTTAATGGAATAAATGTGAAAATAAGCTCTTGGAAATGAGTCCAATTGGGATTTCAAGAAGGGAGTGAGTTTATGAGCACTAACCTGATGACTTGTGTTTGTTCAGCTGTAGCTTTATCTGTAGTTTGCAAAACAGTCTGATACAATTTTTTTAAAAACTTAGTCTAATACCATTTAAAATGGTTTTGAAATTTTTAAATAAATTTCATATGTATCACACAACCATTTGCGCTTCTTGAGGGTGTATATACCTGTTTACTAAGAGAATCTGACTTGTTTTGAAGTTGGTAGTTTGGAAAAAAAGATTAATGTAACCAAACTACATTGGTGTGAGGATGCTTTAAAGCTAAGGATGTCATAATATGTACAAAAAACATTAGAGCCAGTCTTAAGTGATATCAGTTTTTCTCATGAGGCAGTAGGTCAGTCCTTTTGGTTTATATTTCAATCAACACATCTTTATTAAGTGTTGATAGTCAACACTGTGCTGTCAGTATGGAGTTCAGTTCAATGTACATTTATTCAGAGGCTATGTGTGGTGGTTTCTGGGTATTTAAGGCTCTTCATCAGTAGTTTATTCCTGAAAAGTTCAAGGTTGTAGCTAAGAAAATCAATATGAATGTAGAACAAGCAATCCTTTTATTTCAAGGGCAAATTCAGGAATTTTGGTCATAATTCTCTAAGTGAAATTCTGGGTGTAACTTAATTTTCAGACTTGTGTGATTTTAACTTCTACCTCTTGTTCTGATACTATAAAAATACATTTTTATGGAAGATTATTTTCTGGATCAAATATAGTGTTTGAGGAGAAATTGATTTATATAACTTGAAATCAGAATGTGCTTTGGAGATTGGATATTTTTAATGCTAAAAAAAAAAAAAAACTACTCCTATGACCAAGCAGTTTAGGAGGTAACTAGATATTTACTGACTGGTCATTTAGAGCACTTTCTTTTTGCAAAATGTTTTAGAACTCTCTGAGCTCAAAAATAACAAATAAAGGTTATGACGGTCAGCTATAAGCCAGATGTGACTCTTATTTTCTTTAGGGTTTGTTCCTTTTAGCTGCCTGCATGTTCCTCCCAGATGCTTCCTATCTCCCCTCTTCCTGCCCCTGTTCCCTTTGCTGTTGGGTGTCTGTTTCCGCATCATTGAAATGGTCAGGGTAATCCTGCACTGCCTCACTGAGAAATAATTGATATAGTAAAGTGCCTTGAAAAGGCTGAGTAAATACCAAATCTTTGAATGAAAATAACGGAGCCCCTTGTTCCATTTAAGGAAGATCCAAATCACAATTTTAGTTTGAGCTCTTGGAGGATGGGAGAGAGTAGAAAGAGGATATTTTCACTTGAGTATTTTACTGCTCCTCTGTTTGGGTTAATAGATATCACTTGTAACTTTAGTAGCTGGAACACTGGTGCATACGAGGGATCTTTTGCTATTTGAGTTATTATTAGTCACCTCTAGTCCTTTTTTTGTGTGTGTGTGGCCAGGTTACCCTGTGTGTTTCCCCTCCAGTCTCATTTCAGTTGTAAATGGAAATCTGAGTTGATCTCTATTAGCTCCTCTCCCTGGGAGAGAAATCATTGTCTCCTTATCAACATATTTGTTTTGTTTTGTTTTGTTTTTGAAATACAAGATATGAACAGAGTGAGATCTCCCACAGTCTTCAATGTTAGAGTCGTGAGGCTGTGGTGGGAATATTGGTGTCATTGCCAGGTGTTTTGTAGTTTGGAGTGAGCAAATCAAGTACTCCTAAGAATTTTAGGAACATTATTAATGTCTGAAAATTACTACATAATATCTTAGAATTTGAAGTGATTGTTGATTTCAGAACCCCACCCCCTGCCCAAAGAAGTAGAAATTTAAAAATTGGTGGATGTTGGTGATTTTGAAAGAAAAAGTTGATCCTTCCTTGGCTTGGGGTCTTAATATTTACTTGGGAAACTAGATGAAAGAAACCACTGCTGTTTATCTTAGATTAAAATGGGTTAGTATAATTTAATGGTAAGTTTTCTAGGCTCTAACTAGTTTGGGCTTTGGTTACTCTAAGCATACAAATGCCTTTATTGTAGTGATAACATGTCATTTTTAAAAACATAGCTGAGAATGGTAGTTCTAAAAGCTGGGTAAGTTGAGAGAATTTCAGAAATTATCCAGGACTTGAAATGTGCATATGTTCTTTGGTTTTCATGAGTAAGGCATTTTTGCTTATTTTGTGTTTATGTTGTGTAATATAACTAAACCTTAGCCATCTTATAAATAATGATACTAGTGATTTTAATGCTAAGTGATTTATACTAAACATGTACCTCTGCATTTTTCTCTTTCATTTTCTGGACATGTGATAGAAAGGTTTTAATGTAAGAAATAGGGATAGCTTACTGTGTTAAAAGTGAAAGATTTGAGGCTCCTGTGAGCAGTTTATATGATGGTGCTGGTAACTTATTTTCACAATCATCTGACCTAGGCTAGATGAATTTCTTACTAAAAAATAAGCTTTGTATGAGTAAAGAGCTGGGAAACATATGACAATGGAGAGCATTCGATTATATACTACTTGTGATCTATGTTTATGGCTGTGGCTCTGCCCCTTCCTAAGTTTATAGGAGCAAATTGTTATAAGAGCGGAAAGAGAGTGCCCACTTTTTGTGGTAACATGTCATTGTAAAATTCAGATGGGACAGATATATTGCAATTCTAGGGCGTACCTTAAGAATGCTTTCTTTTCTCAGGGAAATTTGGTGAGGCTCTTTTTGCTTCTTGTCTTTAGACTACATATTTGATTTATCTGGACCTCTGTTTCTCATAAGGATTAACTGGTGCTGAATTCCAGACATAAACAGCTTCATTTGCTTAGGCTTTTAAGCACGTGTATTGACAAAGTTCTTATTTTTTTAAACATTTGGTCACTTTTCCCACCTTTCATCATTTTTAGCTGGTTTAAGATTTTTATTATATATTTAGTTTTAAATTAAGCAGTGAATGAGTCAGATGCATTTCTTCTCCAGTTCTCTTGCCTTTGAATACAGTTGTAAACGTGTCCTTTGCTGTGAAATGTGTCTTCTTTTTCTTTTGATAGATTTAAATTATTATTTGGAGTATTTTTCAATATACTTAAAGTTTTTTGAAAAGTAATGATCAGTATTATCTTTATTTTTTATTAACTTGGTAGAGTTTTAATAAATCTGTTAAACACATTGTCTTTGGTGGTTATTAAAAGAAAATCTAGTACTCAGTAATGGTGAGTACATTTATATATTGCTTGGTTTAGACTAGAAACGCTGAGATTTTTTGAGGTTGTAGAAATATTTAAATAAGCAATTTACTGACACCTGCCTCATTTGAAGCATTGTCAGGGATGTTTAGTTTTCTGGTCACTTCAGATTGCGGTTTATTGCATGCTTTTCTGCA